TAAAATATATAGTTAAAAAATCCTGTACATAATTGAAACAAGTCATTAACAGATCTTATTATCAAGGCAGTGTCAATCTCTTTCCTCTTTCAATCTGAATAATTCCAGCATTCTACAAACCTTTTTGGTGAGTTTCAATTAGCTCATTATGTTTGATAGCCTAACTTAGACTATTAAATGGTTAAATTGACAGAAGATACCTGTGAGGTCTAGGAGAACAGGTCTTCTCAAGGAGACCACAAGGATGCACCTGCAGGGTCCTCTCCATGGTGACTCAGCTCTTGGGAATTTGTAAACTTAACTTCCTGGAACTTGGAAATTTCTGCTTCTGTGAAATCCTATAGTTCTATGGGTGCTGGAATAGCATCTCCCACTTGATTGAAACTGGCCAATGAAAAAGCTATCTATGGGTTAGAACTTTTTGATTGGAGATAAAAAGGGAAAGACCAAGCCAATTGGGGAGCGCAGCCATTTGGAATTCTTCTATGCCATAAGCTCTTGGCCAATGAATAAAGTCTTTCCTCTTATAAAGATGGTGTTTGGGTGCTCTTTCTCTCCGTTGAGCCTTGTCTTCTCCTGCAACAAAAATAAGTTTCTCTTAGCAATACCTTACATTAAGATTATATAAGTAAATAAAGAATAAATACTCTCAACATCACAGTCATTCAAGAACCATTTGCATTACACACACATACACATATACAAAATACAGACACAAAGTCATCTTTTAAGTCCAGGAATTTATTCACTTTCTATTTTCAGATCTTACTGCATAAGAAATGTTAATATCACAAATAAGGACTTTAGCATCAAATTATCAAATTAGTAGTATAGGCACTATTTTATCCATGTTTATCTTTTCTTCTGCTTTATGGAGGCATGATTAACAAAAGCATATACGTTTAAGGTGTATAACATGATGTTTTGGTATACATATATATTGTTAAACGATTACTACAATCAAGCTAACATATCTGTAATACCAATTTTTAAAGAGGAAAAAAGCACCTTGAACTGAAGAGAGGTAACACAGACTTATGAAATGGCAGAGTATACACTTGCTTTTACAATTAACATGAGTGAGAAGAAAATGAATGGTGCTATGTTAGTTATCTAAAGTTGCTATAACAAAATACCATAAACTGGGGGGCTTAATCAATAGGAATTTACATCTCATAGTTCTGGAGCCTAAGATGTCCAAGAAAAGTACAGGCCACTTAGTCCCCTGGTGAGGTCCTCTTCTTGGCTTACAGATCAGGTGCCTTCTTGCTTTTTGGCTTTGTCTGCTCCTGGAGGAAAGAGAGGTAAGTAACAACCTATTTGGTGCCTCCTCTTAGAAGGGCACTAATCTCATCAAGCAGGCTCCCTGCTCTCAGGACTTTATCTAACCTAATCACTTCCCAAAGTGTCTGTCTTCAAATACCATCACATTGGAGGTCAAATCATTAACATATGAATTAGGAAAATAGCCAAACTCTAGAAAAATAGAATGCAAGGACTCCTGGCAGGATAGTGAAGAGACCAGTAAAGGAGTAATGAAAATACTATGGACATCCAGATTTGGACAGCCTTAACTACCATACTAACAAGTTCAACACTGTCATTTAATTTAATTTGATTAAAGTTGTTTTCCAAAATTGATTTGGTGACATATTACAAGCTATATCAAGGAGAGAGGCAACAAAGAAACTGGATGTAGGATGACAAGTCTCAATGTGATTGTATCACAAATTACCTAACATTTGACTCACTTTATGAGAAATGTGATTCAAAATGGGTAAACAGAGATTGGACATGATGGCACATACCTGATATTCTGATGATGTGGAAGGCTGAGGGGAGAGGGTCATTTGATCCCAGGACTTTGAGACCAGCCTGGGAAACATAGAGATCCCATCAAAATTTAAAAATTAGTTGGGCATGATGGCACACACCATCTACTCAGGAGACTGAGATGGGAGGCTCAATAAAGTCTAACAGTTTAAGGCCACAGTGAGCTGTGGCCTGCACTCTACCCTGGATGACAGAGTGGAACCCTGTTAAGAAAGACATAAACAGAGAGAAAGAGAAATTTACAAAAGCCCAAGATGGCTACATGAGAGTTAAATGAGAGTATGGCAACAAAACAATCTCACAAATCAACTGCGGCTACAGGAAACTGACATATATATCACAGGGCCTCTTTCTCAAGCAAGCACCTAGAAATACATAACACCTACCATGTACGGAAAGAACAACCTATCTGAGGGATAGGAAGAAAAAACAATAAATTCAACAACTGTCATTCAAAATGGCTCTTGAGAAATACTAAAACATATACATGAAAGCAAATAGTAACTGTCACACTCCAATTTCCTAACAGCATTTTCCAACTACAGAGTTTACAAAAATGTTGTTTTGAGGCATTATTCTAAGCAACACAATGATTGTAACCTCACTTGTTCTTTTTTGTTTTCTTTTACTTACAATAGGCAAGACAATTTTTAAAAATTATACTTTAGCTGTTGAATAATTAGAAATTGAGCACTGGGTGTGTATTGAGGGGGTACTTAACAAAAAGGCCTCTAAAAAAAAAAAGAAAGAAAGAAACCTTCAGAGAAATAGTAAAATGTACTCTAAATGACCTAGAATAGTTCCTGCTTATCTAAGAGTTCCCTTTCCATAGTTTCAGTTACCTTTGGTCAACCATGTCCTCAAAATATCAAATGGAAAATTCCAGAAATAAACAATTCATAAATTTTAAACTGAGCATTGTTCTGAGTAATGTGATACAATCTATTGCCTTCTGCTCAGTCCTGCCACAGGTGTGAATCATCCCTTTGTTCAACACGTTCACACTATCTATGTTCCCACCTGTTAGTCACTTAGTAGTTGTCTTATCAGATAGAATAACAGTATACTTGTCCCTCAATATCTCCAGGGATTGGTTCCAAGACTACCAGGAATATGCTCAATGACCTTACATAAAATAGCATGGAATTTGACTTACATCCTGTCTATCCCTTAAATCATCTGTCGTTTACTAATTATATATACGACAATTCAAATGCTGTGTGAATCATTGTTGTATTTTTTACTGTTGTACTGTTATTTTTATTATAGTTTTGTTTGGATTCAGACATGTTTTGATCCAAGGTGGGACTCACAAATGTGGAACCTATCCATACAGAATGCTATAAATACAGTAAATACAGTGCTAGGTAATAGCTAAGGTTTCAGGTATCAACAGGGGTCATGGAATGTATCCCCAACTCTAAGAGGGGTCTACTGTACTTGAATTTTCCTGCTCTTTTACTTTAAACGCTATACCTTACTCAAGGAAAACTATTTAATGTTAGACTTCCCTAAACAAAAAGTGGAAACAGGCCATTGGTGTTTTTATTTTACTTTTTATTTATAAAACTTTTAAATTAATTTTCCTGAGTAAGAGACAATGTCAGGAAAGACGATCTATGTCCTTTGTGACATTCTTGTATCTAGCAAAGCAAGCTTTTTTAGTGTTCTGAAACTCCTAGTCTTAAAAGGAAACACAGGCATCTTCTTGTTTTTTTCTAATCAAAAGCTCATCTATTTCTTTCAGTATTTTCTCCTTTTAAGGATTATTGTAGCCCAACATTTCTTTTAAATTTTATCAGTTGCACAATTTTAATGAGTTTTTTCTATTTTCATATACAGCCACATATTTGCCCAATATTTTTATATTTAGACCATTAACAAATGATAATGGGGAGAAGGATTTTTACTAGTGTTTTTGCTACCATTTTTAGAAATAAATGTAATGTTTGTCTCAGGCATACAATTTTTGACAGATTAAGTAAATTCAAATTAATTTTAACAAAAGTATATAATTTAGCATTGATCATTTTAGACACTTGTCTTTGCCTCCTATTTAGGAAGCTCCGGAGCAATTCTTTACCTATCTTTTTTCTTTTATTCGTTCATACCTTGTCTTTCTCTTTACCTCCAATCCTAACTCCCTTCTTTCTTCCTCTTTTCTTTTCTTTGCATGCCATCTTCCTTAGTTACAGTGGCAGTATTAATGAATACTGACTTTAAGAGGATACACATACTACAGAATCAGATTGTCTACTATAAAAATACACGAAACAGACTGGTCAAGCAGAAGATCCCATTAAATTGTCAAGAGATTCTGGCATCCGTACCTAATATTCAGTTTACTTCAGAATAATTCAGTTATTTTGTGGGTCGTGACCCTTAAAAACGATAATGAGTCATTAAATGAGTCACATCTAATTGTTCCCACAATTTTTGGAGCTTTGTTCAATGAACGGGTGACAGCTTGAATTTCATAAATTCTGGAGACAGGCCTGAGCAACTGACTATAACCTTGTTTCTATGGTGTTCCAAACAATTCCAAACAGCTACTAGATTAGTAGCTCTTCACCTAATGGGAATTGCCTATATTCTTTCGAGAGTTACCTGTTCCCACTTGAGAGCCCCAACGATAGGGCGCAGCCCGATTTTGTTGACTATTTTATTAACCGTAGGTGAGAATAAACGGCTAAGTCTTAAGGGAATCAGAGCTTTTCATTTTGCCTCCGAACTTATCATTTCATTATTAGCAGTAAGTAGTTTTTAGGCTGCCATGTAAAGAGCCAAGTAACCACTGGCGGCTGCGCTGGAGCGCGCGGCGAGGCCGGCCGGTCCCCGCGGCACCCCGGCCCGCACGGAAGCGCCCGGCGGAGCCCCGCGGAGGACACGCGCTCTCCCCGCGCGGCCGGGGCTGAGCAGCCGGGCGCTCCCTGGGGGCATTGTGTGTGAACAGAGCCCAGAGACAGCAGGCCCAGGGGCCGCTCCACCACCGGAGCCCGGACACGCCTCGGCACGGGCAAATTCCCGGCCTCCTCTGGCTCCGAGCCAGCAGCCGCCTCCCGCCACCTACTCTCCTCCTCCGCCGCCGCCGCCCCGCCGGGCACCGAACCGCCCGCGCCTCGGCGCGCGGCCCCTCGGCCCACGGCGCGGGCGGCGCGGTTGGGACGGGAGGATGTGGCGCATGCGTGGTGGCGCCACCAGGCGCGGGAGTTGCGGCGGCGGGGACGGCGGCGGGGACAGCCGCGGGCCTGGCAGCCCGGGCCGGGTTCGTGGGGGCGGCGGCGGCGGCGTGGGCTGGCGAGGCCGCGCGGGCGGCGCCCGACAGCAGCTGGAGGAGCGGTTTGCCGACCTGGCAGCGAGCCACCTGGAGGCCATCCGTGCGCGGGACGAGCGGGAGCGGCAGAACGCGCGGCTGCGCGAGGAGAACGCCCGGCTGCGGCTGGAGAACCGGAGGCTGAAGCGCGAGAACCGCAGCCTCTTCCGTCAGGCTCTGCGGGTTCCCGGCGAAGACGCCGACGGGGCGCCCGCGGAGGTGAAGCCGGGCTCCGAGGACGTCGGCACGAACCACAGGGCGAGAGGCAGTGACCGCGAGGACGAGCCGGGCAGCCCCCGGGCCCTGCGGGCCCGGCTTGAGAAGCTGGAGGCCATGTACCGCCGGGCCCTGCTGCAGCTGCACCTCGAGCAGCGGGGGCCGCGCCCGCGTGGGGACAAGGAGGAGCAGCCCTTGCGGGAGCCTGACTCGGGCCTCTGCGGCCGGGACCCAGAGCCCGCCGGGCCCTGTTTGTAGCGGAGGCCGCAGCCGGGAGAGGCGGGGCCTCGCGCTGCCCCTCCCCCTCCGCCCCGCGGCTCCCCACGTCGCGGCGCCCGGGGCCTCGCGCGGCCGGCGGCTACTGGACCGCTGAGACCTCTCGCCGCCTGTCCCGCCAGCGGGCACGTTCGGGTGGCACTTCGCAGTCTGCCAGGCTGAGGTTGACAGGCTGCCAGGGGCCTCTGGCGTCCCCACGTGTGCCGAGCACCTGCCTCTTGCCCCTGCTGGATTCCACAGGGAGAGGCCTTGCAACGGAGGGGCGGGTTTTAAAACGGCAAAACTGGCTGCCAGTAAACAGTCCCCATCCCCGGACATTCTAGGTGTTGTGAGGAACTGTTGGGTGTTTTCTGTTTTTTTTTTTTTTGAGGGTTGAGTAATGTATTTTTGAGTTGTTAGAGTTTGTTGTCCATTCTTCAGTCCCCTAAAGTTTTCAGCTATTATCTCTTTACGTGGCCAACATTTCAAATACATTGTGTTTTATAGATCGATATTACTTGGATATTGTGTAAAGTACTCCATTTTTATAAAGAAAAGAACATATATAACCTGGGAACTCATGGCTCCCCCTGCCTCCAGTCCGGATACACTTAATATACACTGATTCATTTATCTCCCAGAGAAGTTTAAACTATTTGCGTATAGGTAATCCTTTGAAATGGTAAATAAATCTGTTGCATTAAAAATAATCTAAAAGTTTCCCACGACCATTATTTGAAGTGTGTTAAATGTTTATACATCCCTTTAAGAGATACACGTCCGGGTGTATATCTTACGTACTTTAGTATTTGGCTTTGGTTATCCTTTGTAAAGTATCGTTTCCTTTTTGCTTTATGTAACAGTGATCTTTTAAAATAATCTATAGATTAGATAGTCTAAACATTTCATTTTTATTACATTGTGGACTTCACAATAGCACTTAATTGGTATATAGCCAGTTTGCCTTATTTTACCTAAGAAGTCTTAAGAAATTATAAATTGTTTATGTATCAAAAGCTCCCAAAGAGATTTAAGTCTCAGTTCTCTATCAGTGGCAGAAAAAAAAAAATGCAACTAGTTTTAACAACAAACGTTCTAAAGTCACTTTTATTACATTTTGTTGATGAATAACACGTTTGCCCACTGAGTAATGAAGAATATACCATTGTGCCTGATAAAAGTAATGAGTGTAAAAGAGTGTTTCACTGAGGGAAAATACTGTGGGAGGGGGACACATGACTAGCATTGTTGGGGGAATAAAATGTATTACAACAATATTCCAAAAGTTTCAATATTTATGATACATTTGCATAGCAAAGTACCAGGGAAACTATTAAATAATTTTGTGATTCTACTAGTTCTGGGTCTTGAAAATACTTTGCATTTTGCTGATACTTAGTTGTGAATATTAAAATCTTTCTTTACGGCCAAACAATATGGAAAGAAAGTTGGTGAGAAGAGGTAGGTATTTGAAAATAAACTTTCATCTTCCTTAACTTCGTTTTTTAACAGTGAAAGAAATACAATCATCCACCAACTGCCTGACAGTGTCCCAGACCACATCCTGTATATGACTGTGGTCCCATAAGATTTTAACACTGTTTTTACTGACCCTTTCTATGTATAGATATGTTGAGATACACAAATACCATTGTGTTAACAATTGTTTACAGTACTCAGTACAGTAACTTGCTGTACAGGTTTGCAGCTTAGGAGCAACAGGTTATACCATATAGCCTTGATGAGTAGTCTAAACTGTCTAGATTCCTGTAAGTACACTCTTTAAGAGGGACATACAACACCAAAATCAACAAAAGACCCCTTTCTCAGAACATTTTTTCATCATTAAGCAATGAATGACTATTAAACATTTTTAGGAGGCCGTAGAAATTGAAGAATAAAAATTATCCACCCTACTGCTGTTAAACTGTAACTTCAAGTTCAAATAGATCTCTTTAAACTTAAATTTTCTCATTAGTAAAAGGAACATAATCTCTCAAAAGGTTATAAAACTTTAAGATAAGCAAAATACCGGTTTCAAAAGAAATATTCTAACAGAAGTACAAGCGAGAGCATAATTATAAATGCATATTTCACTTGCATTTTCCTGTGCTTTCATATTTTGCTTCTTCATAATTATCAAACATATAAATTTTAAAGAAGTTGGCATTTTTATTCCTTATAAGCAAATAGCGGAGATAAAACCCTACAATAAGGAAATAATGCAATGTAACATTCAAAAAACTTGCCAATTGTGGCAAAATAGGTAATATTCACCAAACAAGGTAATTTAAATGATTCTTAAACACTTTTTCCTTAAAATTATGTACCTATGAGTGAATTTCAAATTTGTGGAATTTACTAATGAAATAAGTTTTTGTAAAATAATGAGGAACGTGCCATGTACACATGCACAAATAAGGATTACTTTCAAGCATAACTCCTGAAAGATTTTACAATTTCTGAAATCAAAATACCTCATAAGCTGGGTTGAAGCTAGTGCATATTTAAAGCTTTATGAAGTCCCCTGGTAATAACTGATAAAGTGTCATATGATAATATAAAAGATGTTTTGTAATATCAAAATACAGAAGTGTTTAAGAAATGGGTCAGTAGAGTTTTTTTAACAGTTGGATCTAGGATCTAGTTTGGTCTAATACTAAAAGGACAGTGAACCATACCTTAGTACAGTGACATTCTCATAATTTCAGATTACTTGTGCAATGAGAAGAGGCTTACAATTTATAGAAATGTATAACCAAATGTGTGTCATCTTAGAAAACAAAATTTAGTGAGGAAGATTGGCTTTTGTTAATCAGCATTTTTTGTGGCTATTACAAAAGTATACTTTGTTTTATAAAAATTAGAATACGAATCAAAATGATATAATGTGTATGTGAAATCTCATTCAAAAAAGTCACTTAAATATAAATTAATATAGTAACCTAATCTTATTTCAGAGAAGCCTAAAATTTTCCTTTAAATCATCATTTAATTCCCTGGAGGAAATACATTCCATAATTTTCCTTGCTTAAGAATAATAAGTTTTCCCTCACCTTTTATTTTTCCACATTTTCTTACTTTATCTTTGATTTGTCATTTTAAGCATATAACCTCCTTTGGATTTAAATTTAAAGGATCTCCCATTAGTTATGGTAAAGTCTCTTTCTATAATAAACACAGTAGTAACTCAGTAGCTATGAAAAATAAAGAATCCTTTTTTCCCTGTTATATACTATTTCCGACTGTGCTCCCCATGGTCATTCAGAGTCTCAGATTGCTTTTATGGTGTTCCTCTGCCTTGCCCAGGCCATTGTTTCCTCTGCATGGTAGAAATAGGTTCCCATATTTAGGTTTCAGCACATGAGAAATGTAGCTAGGCCTGGAGAAGGTATACCCAGAGCTAAAAATGACTTGAATTCTTCTGCTCACATTCTGTTGGTACAAACTTTATTACGTGACCCATTTAATTTCAACAGAGGCTAAAAATTGCAAGCAAGTAGTACTGTCTTTTCTCAGCTAGAATTCCATTATTACAGAAGAATGACAACATTGAATTTTATGAACAACTACCCTAAATGGAGGCTGTCATCTACTTAAAATATTTTAAGGAATTTATAAGTCCTGGTATAGCATTTTTGAAACTACATAATTTAATTAAAATAGAAATACAATGCGATTGCTTTATAGAGTGAAAAAATCTGACCTGTTCCTTCATCTGTGCACTATTCTTAGGAGTGAGTGCAAAATGAAAGATATTGCTTTAAATAAATGAGGAAATATAGCTGTTAAATCTTGCATAGGACATCCCTGTAAGGATGAACTATCTCTAGAAAATGTATATATTATAAAAATAGGGGTTTTAGAGCCTATACTTGGTAAAAATTATTTTATATGTTAATCTAAATGTATAACTTGAGGGGAAAATGTTTCCTATAAATCTTTGTCTCTTATGTACAAGAATTCTACAACTTTCAGAGCTAAAAGAGACCTTCAAGAATCTTACCCCAGCATCATACAGAATTTTCTGCTGACAACTGCTGTGTTTCTACAATACACTCTAGTTGAGTATTTCTGATTCATTTGTCAAGAATGGTTAATGAAATTGAATGTGAATGTGTTCAAGTATTAAAATATGAATAATAAAGCCTAATAGAACCATTTTCCTGGAAGCGTGAGATCAGGGTGCCAGCATGGTAGGGTTCTGGGGAGGGCCCTCTTCCGGATTGTAGCCTTCCTCTATCTTCACATGTCAGACAAAAAGAGGACTGGTCTTTCTTCCTTATATGGTCACTAATCTTATTCTTAGGGCTTCACACTCATGACCTTCATGCCTCCTAAAGGCTGTACTTCCAAATGCCATCACTCTGGGATTAGCGTTTTAACATTTGGTCCATCAGATAGGGTAATGCTGAAAAATGTATACTTTTTTCCTCCAAAATGTTTTTTAAAAATGCTATCTTGATTTTCTCATTCATCTACCAACATGTATGTAATATGATTACACTCTCTTCCTCATATGTTTAAAGTGAGAAAATATTAGAATCTATCTTGCAACTATCCATGAAAACCTATAATCCCCATATCTTTAAACCTGCACCGTGAACTAATTTGCCTGGTAGTAGCCAGAAATAGCATTTCTGCAGTTGTTAAAGTGAGAGGCCCAAGATTATCTACTGTAACCACTATCTTGTATATTTTTTAGAAATCTGATAAATATGTGTGTGTGTGTGCGCGTGCATAAATACAAATGCACACTTAATACATACACACACACAAGCATTTAATACACACTATATAAATTACCCCACCCCCACCAGCAGAAAATATTCATTAGATATTTCAAATCAGGACCTTCCTAGGTGCTTGCTTCCTTTTATTGTTTTGTATTGTATTTGTTCTTGGTATAAATGCTACGTTAAAGACCTTTGTGTGTATGTATCTTATTTCATATGTGTACAAATGTCTCTGATAAATTCATATAAAAGTATTTTTAGGTGAAAAGGCACATGCATTTTAACTTACAAAAACTATCAAATTTCTCTCTGCAGAGTTTGTCCCAATTATATTGCACACAAA